TAAGTTGGCTTGTTAGCAGATGGGGACAGAGGGTATGGGGCGAAGACGCTCGGTTAGGATCACAAAGTTCTTTCTGTTTAAATATGCAGTAATTACCGGCTATGCAGATCGCGCCAGTTTGGTAGCTACATGTTTTGACAGTGCGAACATTCCTTGTCTCATTATTAGCCAATTACCATAATATGTGGTGGACCTTGAAAGATTCCAATCTGCTTAAGACACATAGTTGGTTTCACATTTTTCAGATATTAAACCTAATCGAAAAAAACAAGAAATAGAATAAAGTGAAATGTAAGGTGGAGGTATGTGCCACATTCTCACTGCTGACAATTATTCATCAGGTTAGTTAGTGGTCATAAATGTCACTTTGCTTTTCCATAAAGCCGGCTTGTTTCATTGACATGTGTATATGAAACACATGTTGTTAGCTTGACCATAGCCTGTTTCTCCTCTGCAGTAATTGCCAGATATGCAGATTGTTGTAGTTGTACTATGTACAGTGCAAACACTCTCTGCCTCATTATTTAGCAATTAACATCAAAAACGAAGGTGGCAGCTTACAGCCTGCTCCCTGAAGGCAGATATGGACCCAGCATATGTCGCTGAGGTGCAGGGATCACACAGTCCAGGTAGCCTCTGCTACACTACATGACATTGCTTTTGGAGATCCTGTCATGTCGCCTTGTTTTTGAACATCAACCCCTTGCAACTGGAGTGTGCACTTGCTGTCTTCCCCTCATGGCCTTGTATGTATTCATAAGAGTACCCTGGGCAGCGCGTTAGGCCGAACGCACCTATGAGGTAGGATAAAGCGTAGCCCTGGGGTATTGACAGAGCGGTTGTAGGGGTTTGAATACGATGCATCAAAGCCTTCATGGATTGATGGATGGATACTGTGTGATGGATGATGTCAGGAAAAAAAGAAGCATGATATAAAACTCTGTGTAGAGTGAAACATGGGGAGCTATAGGAATAAGAATAAACCCGCCTGATTCCTCGCCCTGCATCATTTACGTCCTTTACATACCTATACATGTACGTCACAACTGACTTCATATACCTATACGTTTGGGGCTTTAGGTTGTTTGTCCACAGTCAAACCTTCTCTCATCCTGGCCTGGTGGTAAGTGTGGGGGGGTCATCTGTCTGTCTAGCAGGATATACTCCAGGTATTTCTCTGCTTTGAGTCGACAGTCATTGTGTTGATAGGTCATCTCCTACTTGGAACACGTACATCCATGTGCCGCAGTCTTTCTTGGCATACGTATTTGTGCTGCACAGAGAAGGAGCTCTGGAGGCCGATCATTCGTCTATAGTGTTTGTCAAGGGCTTTAAAGTGCACAATGGCCACCGGTCGGTCAAGCCCTCAGCATTAATGTTTGATTGAGTTAAACAAATACAAATATGAGCCACATTTGTCTCAAATTGGGACACACCCAAACGCTAAGACAATAAGGCTTTCTGAAAAGAGTCCATACAACAATGGAAACTTATACCTTGGTAACACTGAACATCTCTGTAAAATATTGAAGTCAAGTTAGATGCTCGCAAGTTATAGAGAAAACAAGAACATAGCTTTCTTGATAAGACTTACATGTCTTTCGTTGATATGTCCTCATGTTTAAATCATGTTTGTTATGATAGATTTCAGAAATAATTGTGGCTGAATGAAAAAGAAAACGCACAGTTTGAAGACTCATTTTTAATGCCTTAAGTAAAATTCAAATACAAGAAAAAAAAATCCACCATATGAAGGATACTTTTCCATCAAAATAAATGGGATATTTTACAAAGGCATGACAACACAGTAGCCAATAACAATAACTGACTGATACAGATTTTTGCTGGCAAGCGCTAAAGTCTTTCTCATAATAAAGCAGAATTCAACCCGACTCACTGATGACTAATTTACAAGCGTATACTTAATATTCTCATATAATTATACAAGATACATTTGTGTACATAAAATATTCCAGCATATTTCATGCCGGTATACATGTGCACGTTTCAGCCATACACGCATACATGCTTTTCGACACATTCAGACACTCTTCATACATTTCTATGCATACAGTATGGAGTTTTTTTTTTTTTTTTTTTACACTTCAGAGATTGTCCACTTGATTAGTATTCTGTTTACAGTGTATTCCAGTGTCAGCCTAAAGCCTCTTTCAAGTTCATACAGTATATACATTTGAGTCAGTGTTTTGTGTACAAAGTAGTAGAAGTACATTGTATAAAACTTTCAGACAGACGGACAGACAGACAGAGCTTCACATGACAGTGCTGACATTGATTCTATAGTGTGGGTTTAAATACCAGTTAGTTAGCGGTTTAAGTGCTTTATATTTGTTCCAAATACTGGTTCAAAATATGATGACAGTTTGAAAACAAGGGTCAGAATTTGTGAAAGTATTTTGGAGATGACATGCATAGTGGGATTGGTGACTTTGGTTATAATTACGATATTTCTGTACCATTGACATGAACTTGCAGGACAATATGTAAATAATAGACTGAATAAATTGATTTTTTCTTATCTTTCCAAGCTAAAAGGTACATGCACTCCATTCACAAAAAAACTTTATTCTGTTTCTATGTGGGACCGAATCAATGTTTTTCTTACGTGGACCTCGGCACAGGTTTCACACGGTTCTTCATTCATTAAAATGATCAATATTACTGCAATATTCTCATTGCTGACACTTATAAATCATGCAGCCTTGATACGCTGTCCTTTTGATACGGTTTCATCAATCTGTCCTGGAATAACTATTATATAAAACCAAAATGAAATTGGATCACCAAATACACAGCTTGCATCCGTTCTAATGTGTATAGAAGGATAGATTTGAGATGGTCGTTTTATATTGAATTCATTTTTGTAATTGAATGAGGTGAGATTGAATTGGCCCTGTCCTTGACACACTGCTTTCGTTTAGTGATCATTTTGGCAGAGCGGAAGATAAATCCACTGTATAACGACCAGTCTCCGATTCTGAGCATCACTGAGAAAGAAAAGGAAGCGAGCTCACAAACACATTTCCCAGAGGGGCCTGCATTGTCGTACGGTTTTAGGCCTGTTCCCTATTTGCACGAGGGTAAGGTGAAAATGAATCACATGAATCATACACCTGGTTTGAATGTTACTGCGATGAGAAAAATGGATACGAGCAAAGTCACTTATTAATGTAGCAATAGATTATACTGCACCCAATCTGTTAAAACGGCTGCTCGCTGTAAAGGCTCGAGTACTGTAGCATCAGCAGTGCAGACTACGGCTACATGACATTCAAAAGCGGTGTTTTAGTTGTGGGTCAAAATCAAATCTCAATTTTTACGCTTTGTGTTTGTAAAATCAGTGTCAAACGCATCTCAGCGACGTATATGGCTTGATTCAGTTCACCTAATGTTGACATTTTAAAGGCAGAAACAACTATTCTTCATGTTTGTTTCTCATGATCACCCAGAAAGCTGCATCAATTCATGTGTTAAAGAAGACATATTTAGCATTTTTTTCCCCCCAATTTTAATCAGAACGAGACTACTTACTTTTTCATTTAATGGTTTAGATTGTAAGAATGTCTTGTAAGTAGAAAATGTATGGGGAAACAAGAATGAAGGGTAAAAAAAAAATGGGTTAAGCCTTTAATTCCCAATTTGAACCACCAGAGGGAGAAGTTGCATTTTATTGTAATTTTAAATCACTCAGTATCACTAGTTTAGGGACAATACTTGTACGTTATAAAAGACGCAAAACTGCTCAAAGCCTGACGTCATTGTGGTACAATGACATCATATTATTACAAAACCTGGAGAGGACTTAAGTTTAAGCGCCATAATTTTCTGATATTAGCATGAATGCATGTAAAAAACAACTTGAGCTGTTTGATTAAAAGTTGATTTTGTATTATATGTCTCCTAGCTGTGTGGGGAGGAAATAATATAAACATTAAGTATTCAAAAATCTGTTACCACATGAGATTCAAAAGAAAGCCGCTGGTCACCTTTTGTTCTTCTATGTCCACTGAGCTATTGCAGTCCACATCTACCACAACACAAGCTGCTCGTGAGATCACATATCAAGGTAATTAGACTGAGAATTTCATAATTGCCTCCATCGCTGTTGGTAAGCGCTAGGAATCTGAGCAATGCAAACAAAAGGAGTGAAAACAAGACTGGATTTCTGAAGCAGCTGTCTACCCTTTCTGTAGAGATACTGTGGGGTGAAGACCTTTAGAATAAAGCGAGCTGGTTCAACCGCCATATGGAACGCGTCTAAGATACATACAGTACGAGTCCTATAGCAGTATGTTATGATATTGCCCAGGTCCATGGTTCGGAATTTTCAATGCAAAAGATTACCGGTGCCGTCTTGCGTTGGCCTAGTTTTTGCTTCGTAGACTTTTTTTTTTTTTTTTTTCTGCTGCAGATCCCTGACCAAAATAGAATGTGAAAAAGAACAGGACTTTTTCACTGCTAAAGGTTTGTGCCACACATTAAGTAGAGCAATTATTCACGAGAACCTGAAGAGCAACACTATGCAACCACGACTCCTAATGAATATTTAGCCGGTTTTAGCGCACTCAAAACAAAGCACTGTTTTTAGTCGTTGCATTTGTTATACACACTTTAAGCTGGAGTAATGAATTAGCAGTACAGTCCGACATAAAAAAACAGTATATGGTTGGCAAGTCTTTTAACATCTCAATTAAAAATGATCGAAACATTTGAAACTTGTCTCACATTCTTGATATCGGGCAGCACACGGTCACTTCGTGTTTACAGGTATTGTGAGAAACATCTACTTTGGTGTGTCATATAGGCCTATAGTGGATGGTATGTTCTTTTTATTTATACGTATTGAGTGGCGTGGTGTATTTTGTGGGTATTAGGAGTAAGCTGGTTCAACGTTATACCTCCACACATTCGGATCATAAAGTCACTGTGGACGGTGCCTATATATTCGGAGATGTAATATTTATCTCTCTTTTTTTTCTTTACAGCTGGTGCTCATGTAAGAATGATCCACTTCCTCCTCCGGTCTGTTGCCCCGGAGACGAGAAACTAGCCAACGGGATGACCTTAACCGGCTCTTCTTTCTTATAGTGTCTGTCCAGGGTGTTGTAGAACTGCGGACGGTTTGTTCCTTTGTCAAGATCATCGTTTCTTTTGGGCACGGATCGGCCCAGGGTGTGGCGGCCGTCCATGAGCCCAAAGCTGACCAGCGTGGCTTTGCTGGAACCGCGGGGGCAGCTTTGGAAGCCGAAGGAGTGCAGAGGGTCCTGGATAGAGGTGCCGGTGGAGGTTGTGGTGGGGGTGGAGGCCGGGGAGCCGCTGACCGGGCTCTGGAAGTGGGCCAGGGCGGGGGGCATCCAGCAGCTGTCCGAGTGGCCCAGGATCAGACACTCCTGGGTGCAGGTCTCGGAGGCTTCGGCCAAGGCTTTCTGCAGGTTCACCTCGATGGCTAGAGGAGAGAAACATACAGACAAGCTGGTTAGGTCTAATGGGAATGATCTTGACAAGGCGCAAAGTCGAACATAAGGCGATGTTTTCAGAGTGTGTGTGTTTGCCAGATGAGTGGGTTATGGTGGCAGAAAGCCTGGTTGTATATTGGAGTTAAATATTCTAGTGCCATGAATGAAGCAATAGGGCTGCCAATTGCGTTTTTCATACCTACATAGCGATGTAATTTTATTTTATTGTTTTAAATGTAAAAATGTCGTAGTAAATATAGCATTTTAATTTGAAAAAAGCTTATATATGAAGCAATTACCTAATATATATTTCCAATACATTTTATAATTGATTTATTTTCTGAGCAAAATGTCAGTGAAATGGAGTTGTAGTAGTTTTTAGTTTAGTTTTTAGTATTTAAAACCTGTGCTGGGCAAATATTTTATTTATTTATTATTACCCTCACATCAAAAACAAGTGATTTTTTTTGCTTATTGTTAGTCACTTAAATCTTTTCAAATAACTTAAATAATTGCAGTCTTTGAGATTTACAGATTGCAACCCGAATAAACAAAATTTGTCAAATGTGTAGGTGTTTGAGAAACAAAAATGTAAAAGAAAAGTCTTGCATAATTATGGTTTAAAATACGAATACACAGTAAGTGAAAGATGTGTTGCCACAAAGCTGAACAGTCCAACACATGCCACACTTCAAAGTTGTTTTTCTTCTTCCTTTGTACAGAGGGCACGAAAACACATTCAACTCATGAATCCTTATGTAAGCAGAAGAAAGTTGTCGCCTTATCAGTGTTTGACTCACTAAATGTCAACCTTTTAGCAGAATGAAAGTCGATAAAAATGATAAATGTTTTATTTCATCTTGTAATGAGAGAAACAGCAGCGGAGCATTTCATTCCCATTGCTATTCCCAGGACACTGTCTGTTTACCTACAATATGCAATGAATTCCCTATAGCTTAATTAGGAAAAGAAGTGTCTGTGTTGATGTCGTAGACAAGATTTACTGTGTTTAATATTTAATGAATGACTTAACAAAGCTTTGTTGAGTTTAATCACTGTCGGAGCGGCAGACCTTTCAACTTGTTTGATCCTCGAGAATTCAAAATAAATCAAGTTCAAATCGTTAAAGTATTTGAAGATTTTGTCTCATCCAGGTATATGATGTCACGTAACCTTTTGAAAGACAATGGGGAGATTCAGGGACAAGACAAACAAGGGAATAGGAGGCAACTATAGGCATTATGTTTGCATTCATGTGATGTCACAACATTCTTAAGTGTCTATACTATAGTGGCTGTAGTCTTAGTTTAGAGCTAAGACTCTTAACTAATCTTGAAGAAGAAGAAGAAGGTCCTTTATTTGTCCCACAATGGGGAAATTTCAGTTTGATACATACACATGCACATCAAGGCAAGCAGCGAACATTACTTCCACGCTCCTTAAAGGCAAAGTGGGTTTAGTGTCTTGCTCAAGGACACGACGACAGCAGACATCAGTAGAGTCGATGGACAAGGTCTCGTGGTGGGCTCGAACCCACGACCTTCGGGCTCAAAGGCCAATGCTACACCGACTGAGCGACTGCCGCCCCCTATGCGGTCTATGCAAAGATTAGAGCTAATTCCTCTGTAATTCTAGAGCCACTCCTTACACCAAAACAAAAATCACAAAAAAAACTATTTTTCAGTAAGTAATAGAGCTGCATGATGTTGGAAAAGGGACATATTCGAGAGTGGGACTGCAAAACGATAAATGTAACGATACGCCCTTGTGCATATCCACTCGGTCTAATTATTTTCTCATAAAGGTGTTGAGCAATGGTGTCGAGTAATTCGTCAAAAGAAACAATTGCATGATGATGACCAACTAAAAACATGTTTATTGGACAATCTATGCTGTAGATGTATGCATCTGCTGTCTGTGCTGATGCCCTGCTGCCGTGGAACTAACAGCTTTTGGGTTTATAGTCTTATAAATTACAATATTTTACTCGACATGTATGTATATTTTATTTGTTTTATCATTGGGGTCTTTTTTGTTGGAATGTGACACCTTTCCTCTGGACTGCAGTTTGAAACTAACAGTATAACTTATACTGGCACATTTACAGTGATGTTGATTAACGTGAACTGTTCCTATTCAAATAAAGAGGGAAATTTATATGTAGGTTTTTATGTCAAACAACTGCCTCTTGTATGAACCTGAAACAAGTAAATACATGAAATGAAATGAATAAAATAATAACTACAACTAATTCACTAGTAACTTTGTCACTTTACCTGTTATCAGTACTACTGCATTATTACATATCTGATATTTCTGCCTTTCACCGTCACTTTACCTGTTGATATTATTTCTGATGTTTATTCTGCTCATATTCATATTCTCATATTCTCCGCGGCCAATGTATGATATAGACATCTGTAAATACTCCGAACCAAGTGCAATTATAGCCCAGAGTTTATCTCATTTTATTTTATTTTCATCTTAATTTCATTGCCTATTATCTTAAATAATATACTTATTTGATGTGTGCAATCTGAGTGCTCTTATTTCCTCTCTCTGCTGTAATGTGCGCAACAATGACACTGAAATTTCTCCACTGTGAGACGAACAAAGGTTTATCTTATCTTATCTTATCTTATAAATCACTATTGCTATCAAATAATGATCGTGGAAAATTTTGAACATTTCTTAATTCTTTCCCATAGAGTTATATTGGCACCTGCCCCCCAACTAAAATACTAGTCTACAATGCTAACGTAATCTATGCTAACTGCCCAATTCCGACTCATGACAATGCTAAACACTCAACCTATCTCATCTCATTATCCGCTCACTGACATCACATGTGGAATGAGTCTGGGATGAGGCTTCAGTGTGGAGCCTGCGTGGCCAATAATGCCCGTCAAGACACATAATTAGAATGTAAAACAGTATGCACCAAGGCAACCAAGAGCCTGCAGTTTTCTCCTCCTTTGCCCCCGCGTACAAAAGAAAGAGTGCTCCTCATTCAACATCACATTGCTCTTCTAGGCCCCTGCTTCAAGCTGTCATGTAGAAATTATTTAGTATATTTGCATAAGTAAGAATTCTATAAATAATTAATTGGCCTTACTGTAGACCCAAGTGCTGGGACAGCCAGTTCTTTCACACACGCATCGCATCCACAAGAAGATTGTATAATAGTCCTGCTAGACATTTGTGGCATTTTGATTTGATATGAAGAGAAAAAACAACTTTTGTATAAGATGCAAATAAACACACATTAATAATGTATAATGTATGCAATATATTACAAAAGCATTAAACACAAACCACTATGAAAAGCAAAAGGCGGAATGCATTATCTATATCAGAATACTTCAGAATGTTTCATAAACGTAGACCTTGATCTGCCCATTGCTGCAGAAAACACATGTCGTCAGAGGGGGACTGTATTAATGATCAATGGGGATATTCTGGGGCAGCCAATCAGAGCGCTTCCTTTCTGTCTTTGTGAAAAAATGCAAAAAAGCAATATATTCTAAAGCAGGGATGTGAAAGTCAAATACATCAGAGAGCCAAAAATACAAATTTGCTACAAGCCCAGGGCCGGACTGGTTCAATGTTTATTCAAACATTAAAATGATTGCATATAACCTGTTGAACCAAGACCTAACACAGTGCACTGTATTTTATATAATGATTAAATGAATAATCCAATATTTTTTTATGGCTCTGTTGGTAATTTCAAGTGAAAACCAGGCTCACAGACATAAACAAACTTCCTTCAAGGAGAAAACACACACTGAACATTAAATTAATAATCCAATATTTTCTCTGTGCGGTTCTAATACGAATCAAATACTGTATTATCCCTGGATTTTTGTTAATAAAACAAAATATACTGCATATTTGCATGTTATCATGTATTGTTTGATTCTTTTTCTATTTTGTTTTTGTTCTTTGTTCTTGTCAAATAAAGTATTCATTCAATCTCAAGAACCACCACAGCCACGTGCACACGTGCACACATAGGCCATGTGCTGGTTCATGAAAGAGGTCTAGAATTTGACTTCCGTTCCAGGATTGTGGGAAATACTTTCTTTTTGCTTTATGTTAATGCTTAATAGTTACAGTTAGCCGAGAAAAAGTTCCACAAACAGAATCCCTGTCAATAATGAGAAAAATGTCATTTTAGCCTGATGTACCATGTTTGGAGGTTTCTCATTGCAGAACTACTTATTTCATCAAAACCATATTACTTGGCCATTGAGATCACACCAAAAATGATGTATTCCTGGAATATTACAATTATTGAAGAAATATTTCAATACCAAAAATTATTATGAAAAACGATCACATTCAAATCTGGGAACTAAACTGGAAAAACTACCATAAACTGACTTTTTTGTGTGACTTTCCTTCAAATACTTCAAAGATAATATCACATATAAATACTATGAATCAAAATGAATAATAATACTGAAAAAAATGTATGCATTTCTAGATTTAAACTTTGTACCAGAGTTGACTGTTTACAAAACAAAGGAACATACACACTATTAGATTTGACTTGCATTTACAACCACTGCAACATTTGTACATGTTTTAAGTGCATGCTCCTAATACAGAATGGTTCACTGTTTTAGTTGTGCAGTGGAGTGCACAGCGAACAGTCAACTTTAATTACGAGGAAATGTCCGGCCCGGTGTAAATTGTGAGATATTTGGAAAGCCCAAGTGCAGTCAAATCTTTCCCTTCCATATTGAAGGCGAGCCTTGGAGCAGGAGTGCATAAATCCCCAGGGCGGTAAATGTGTTGCCTTTCAGAGGGTCACTAACTTCATTAAGGTAAAATGGTCGGAGTTCTCCCTCCTCACAGCTGCACAATAGAAGTGAGTGGGGCCAGGTGAGGGCCGTGCAATCAATTATGCAAGGTATTGTTGAATTATTTGAGGAGAATTTCATTTGAAAAACAAAAACATGTTCAAAATCACGATGGTATTAAT